ATAGGTCACTGTGTGCGTCATACTTGATGACATCTAACAACAACAACCACTGAGTCACATGTGGGAGTTACACAGATAGTTGTTCAGAAGAGCCACTAGTTCATAAACTAGTCTCTGTACCAGAACTGCTAATTGGAAGGTTGGTGGTTTGAAACCACCAGCAGCTCTTTTGGAGAGACAACCTAGCAATCTGTGTTGCTGTAAAGTGAACAATGTAGGAAACCTTGTAAGACAGTTCTGCTCATGTATAAGATTGCATGGTTCAAAATCAGAACAGGTGTACACCAGGCATGTGTCCTATCTCCACACCCTTTCAATCTATGTGCAGAACAAATCATCCAGGAGGCTGAGCTCTGTGAAGAGGAATGTGGCTTCAGGATTGGAGGAAGGCTCATAAACAACCTGTATTGTGCAGATGATACCACCTTGCTTGCTGAAACTGAGGAGGACCTCAAGCACTTGCTGCAGAAGGTCAAGGACTGCAGCCTACAAATTGGATTGAAGCTCAATATCAAGAAAACAAAGATTCTCACCACTGGGCCGATTGGCAATATCATGATAGATGGTGAACAGATTGACATTATTAACAGCTTCCATTTGCTTGGCTCCACAACCAACACTATTTGGTACCAGCAGCCAGGAAATCAAAAGATGAATTCCATTGGGAAAATCTGCTGTCAGGGACCTCTCCAGCGTACTGAAGAGCAACGATGTGAGTCTGGAGACTAAGATGTGCCTGATCCAGGCTATACTCTTCACAATTACTTGCTGTGCATCAAAAAGCTGGATAATGACTAGGGAGGATAGAAGAAGAATTGATGTCTTTGAGCTGTGGTGCTGGAGAAAAGTATTGAATATACAATGGACTGTTTAGGAGAACAAAAGATTCATCCTAGAGAGGGTGAAACTGGGCTGCTCCTTGGAGGCAAGGATTCTGAGGTTTCATGTGACACACTCTGGACATGTTGCAAGGAGGGACCAGTTCTTGCAGAGGAACATCATGCTCGGGAGGACGGAGGGACAGTACAAGAGAGGAAGACAGTCAATGAGATGGATGGATTCAGTGATTGGGGTAATGAGGGTAGGCGTGACAGAAACAATAAGGTTGGCACAGGAAAGAGCAGGTTTCAGGGCTATTGTACATAGGGTCACTATGAATAGCAAGCAACTCAACTCAGTGGCACATAACAACAACAACAACAAAATCTTTATTCATTTTTTAATTTTTAGTTCTGGCTCTCCAGATATCCTGCCCTTGTCTGTACAGGTCTGGTGTAAATGGTGTGGTAAAGACTGATTTTCAAAAGTCAATTCTGACTCATAATGACCCAATAGAGGGTTTCTAGGGTGAAAAATCTTGAATAGAAGAAGACAGCCCATCTTTCTTCTATATAAGATTGGTCAAACACCTCGAACCACTGAAGCTCCTGCTTTCTGCTTCTGATTATGTGTGGGCTCGAGGGCACATTCAGATCTCGGGCAGTTTTCATGTCTGCCCCAGACTTCCCTTTTTAGGGAGCTCACTCAGTCTCCGACATGTGTGCACACAAGGAGCTGCAGACTAGTGACATGGGTGGCTTAGGACTGTCCATCATTAGCATACGAGCTGCAGTCATTCTGGGATACACACAGCACTATCAAGTCCTGTATGGCGTCCCAGTGCTCAGAAGTATTAATAAACCCTATGCTGGTCTACTGGTCCACTGCTTCCTCCAAATAGAACTGTCCACTCCACTGGCGGCGCCACCGGGCCCTTGTTTGACAGTCTTCTGACCAGAAGGTGTCTCCTCTGGAGTAGCAGTCAGGCTGCTGGCCTCCACAGCCTGCCTCACGCTATCATGTTAAAAGAACTGAGCAGGTGGGAAGGGTTGCAACTCTGGGCAAGGGCACACCAAACTTAGACCCAAAGTTGAATCGTTTTCATGAATAAATGTTTCTCAACTGGTTGTATGCCTCTGGGCAATTTCCAGAGAGCATTAATGGCTATTTTCCCCAGTTCTGTCCAACTTTGCAGCTGCTTTTCTGGGAAAGGGCTTGTCAACCTTTCCCTTCTACCACACTAGAAGTTACTACCTCACCCATTCTTTACATTCTTCTACCAAATAACTAATGCTGCTAAAGAGTAGACTACCAGTGTGAAAACATCACCATGAAGCTTGATTTTTCAAAGAAAAAAAATTTTCCAAGGAAAAAAAAAACCAACCAAAAAAGCATATACATAAATAAAGGCAAAATTTCATTTGATTAAATAAGAAACATGGCTTAAGGAGTTGTGCTGCCAACTCAAAGCCACACAGTTTGAATCCACCAATCACTGCATGGGAGAAAGATGAGCAATCTCCTCCCGTGTGATTTACAGCCTCTGAAAACCCTCTGGAGGGTCAGCTACGAGTTGGTTCGCACTTGACAGTATGTAACAACTCCTCCTCCTTCTCCTTAGGCAAAGCAGCTGCAGCCCCACAATGTGACTCCTTGACAGACATTAAAGAAATTAAATAATCCAACAGACCCTGTTCCAAAGCATTTCCACTAAGGCTGTGCATTTCCCAGCTACTTTTTCATGCTTGTTTATTCTTTGTTATCTCATCTGGCTAACATTTCAGCTATGGTCACTCAGATACATAAATGGATATTTCTACAGGTTTTATTGAAGTCTCTAATAAGACTATTTCTCTTTTCCTTTCTTGGTCACCTCAGCTCGGCTGAGTCATCTTGGGCAAGCCATAAGAGCTCTGAACCCCCTCACAGATCAATGTTGTTGCTGTTATTGTTATGTGCTGTTGGGTCGCCTACAACTCATAGCGACCCTATGTACAACAGCCCTAAACTCTGCCCTATCTTGTGCCAGTCTCACTATCTCTGACACACCTGCTCCCATTACCCCAGTCACTGAATCAATCCACCTCATAGAGGGTCTTCCCCTCTTGTGCTGTCCCTCCACCCTCCCAAGCATGACATCCTTCTCCAAGGATTGGTCCCTCCTTGCAATGTGTCCAAAGTATGTCAGACAAAGCCTCAGAATCCTTGCCTCCAAGGAGCAGCCTAGCTTCACCCTCTCCAGGACAAACCTGTTCATTTTCTTAGCAGCCCATGGTATATTCAAAATTCTTCTCCAACATCACAGCTCAAAGGCATCAGTTCTCCTTCTATCATCCCTAGTCATTGTTCAGCTCTCCAATGTTTAGCAAGTGATTGCAAAGACCATGACATGTATCAAGCACACCTTAGTATCCAGACTGACATATTTGCACTTCAGCACTTTAGAAAGGTCTCTAACCACAGATTTTCCCATCGCAATACGTCTTTTAATCTCCTTGCTGCTCGTGACAAGTGTAGACCATAGGAAAGGAAAATAAGCACTACTCCATGCACTGAGAAGTTGGAGAGGACTTAGAAAGCTTCAGATTGGGAAGCTATGCTATGCTATGCTATGCCATGCCATGCCATGCCATGCCATGCCATATCATGCCATGCTTTGTTATATACCATAGAGTTAGAACCAACTCAGCTAACCCTCTAGTAGGTTTTCAGAAGCAGTAAATCACACAGAAAGAGACTGTCCATCTTTCTCCTGCAGAGCAGCTGGGGGATTGGAACCACCTTTCTTTGGGTTGACAGTGCAAATCCTTACCACAAAGCCATTAGAGAGCAGGAAAGTTTGTTGTTGTTGTTGTTGCTATGTGCCGTCGAGTCATTTTT